TTTTCTCTGGCCATCTGAAAAAGACAAATTATGAGCTCTTTTTATTAGAAAAGCAAAAGTGAAACGCTCTCTCTGTATGTATACTCCCAAAATAGAAGCACTCAATGTTGAGGTGAAAATTCATCTCGGAGAAAGAGATGCCTGGAACACTCAGCCGGGTTGTACACACCTTCTCAGACTCAGGACACCAAACTCATCAGGTGATGGCAACTGCAATAATATCAGTACATTTTCATCTTCATCGAGGTGTTCTGTGCAGCTAGGTGCTACTCAGTGGAAGAAAGGATTTTGCAACTTTTAGCTATACCGGTTGTTTTCATCCACTCCTTTTCACGGGAAACAGACTTCAAGATGCATGCCATTTTGCAACTCTCTTACTGCATTTTCACTTTCCTAATGCTGGCACTGAGGTGGGATCTACAGCCAAGTTGGAGTCTATTGCTTCTTGCAGAGCTGTTTTGTTATACTCTCAATTGTGGTGTTCTACATCTTGGCCGGAGTCAAAGCTGGCCATGTGAAAGCATCTGGAGACAGCAGTCTCCATGCCAAAATCTTCAGTATGAAGGCAGTTCTATACCCTTGTGAAGAAACCTTTTAGTTTCTTTATGCCTCCTGCTGTTAAGATATGCAAACATCTTTCCCTCTGGGAAGTAAAAGAAAGCATCCAGGATCTTTGTGCTGCAAAGACAAGAGCCTGGTCTCTTAATATTCCCTGTGTTAAAGAAGTCTTCAAAATTCACGGTTTAATTTGTTAAGACTGGTCTTTGTTGAAATGAGGTCATTCCTTTAAACGTGTGCTTGTGTGTATTTGTATCAACATAGGAAAACATAACCTTCTACTTACTGGTGCTGCTCCCCTGTAGAGGTGCTGACTGTGGCACCAGGCTCCAGGTCCTTATGCATTTTTTGCCACGTGCTATTGATATTTTGCACAGGTGTTGAGATCCCCCTCTGGGCTTTATACTCTCATCTCCTTGGTAGTGGAAGACGCAAACTTGACAAAATGGCTCTGATTTTCCTTCCCCACAAGCACCAAAATAGTCAAGAGAACCCTGGAGGCCTGAGCGTCTTCAAGATATTTTGCCAGTGCACAGCTATTTATTTTGCTGGCGGAGAAAGAAAATAGATGGAAATTATTTTGTTTCAGCAGCTCAGAAACAAGATGTGGGGCTTCTTGTCCAGCTTGATTCCTTGGCCCACTTTTGGGCATTTCTTATTGCAAAAGATTTTTCCGTTTCCATAAGCACCTCTACTTACAGTCATTCCTCCTTCTGTTGTCATAAAAGTTTGTGTATTTGTTACCATCAAGAAAGAGTGTTGTATTTCAGTTGCAATCAAATGTGGCTGTGCAGAGGGAGCTTGTGGCTGCCTTCTAGAGACTACTGCATTTCTTTGGGGCCCAGGAAGAATTCTTGTTTTAATTAGAAAACTCTTGCTTATATATTGCATTCAATCCATTTCTTTTTTTTTTTTTTTTTTCCTCCCATATATATATATTATTTTAATGTTCCAGAATGCAAGAGCCTTAACATCGCACATTGTTCTACAGAGTTTTATAGACACTGGAGTGGTTCATAGAGTTTGAATCATCTTATAGTCACTGTGGATTGCTACAGTAATTATGTCTGTCCTGTCTAACTGTAATGCCTTACAGTTCAGGAGCTATCAAATTAGTAGTGATTTAAGCTAACTTCCAGGGAAGTAACATCAAATGTTCTAGTTCTTCTGAGACCAGCCTGCACAGTGCTCTGTGCCTTGTTTCACTGTCCCTGCACAAATGCTGTTCAGGTTGCAAAGGCTGGTCGTGCCCTTCTAATAGAGATTCATCATTTTGTATGTCTCAGCTTAAAAATCAGAACTAAGGAAAACTTGGTGTTATGCCACGACACAGCACAGGCAAGATGCTTTTTTTCACACTATTTGCTTCTGTAATACCGGTTTATTGATGTTGGCTGTGCTGGAAGCAAGCAATTACCCAAGCTGTTACCTATAGCTCCTCCTAAGTATTTTACATGGAATTTATCTCAGTCCCTGTAAAACACCACAACAGAATGCTGCACCTGCTGCTGTTGGACAGCCTGCAGGAGCAAAGCATGGAGAAGCACTGGGTCTGGAACTGCAGGGAGTTTTATCTCTGGTCTGCTTGGAGAATACTGATCAAGCGTGCTTTTAGAAATTGAGGTTCACTCCCATTTCCCCTAAAGTCAATGGCAGTTAGACACCTAATTTTGTTGAGTCCCTTGAAATTCACATGGAGCAAACAGTACTTCCTCTAACTTATGTAGAAGGAATTAAAAGATCAGCAAACGCTGACAAGCTGGTTAATGTGATCTGCAAAGAAAATGCCTTTAGACTTATCTGGGTCCCAGAAACTGACAAGGGAGGCTAATGACATGGATCTGAGTAAAGATCCTAATGGTGGCTTGGGAATCCCAGTAATCAGCTGGGGAAGCTAATGCCAAGGAGCTGGATAAAGATGCAATTAAGCTCACTGCAAAGTCTGGGGATAGATTGCACTTCTCTCAGCTGTGATAACTGAGGAGTTGGCTGTGACTCCAAAACAACAGCATGACAGTAAAGTAGGAAACAAAGGCCAGATATCTCACTGTTTTCATTTCCAGATGTACGTATTTATTGTCTGTATAGAGCCTAAATTACCCTGGCAAAATTCCAAGCAAGGATGCTTTCGCTCTTTCTCTGGTGGGTTAATAAAGTGCAATTAGTCTTTGCTGTGTTACACTGTATGGAGGACTGCTGGCTGTTGATTAGGAGGAGGCTGAGCAGGGCGATGGTTTGGGACTGCTGGAGGAGGGAGGCAGTGGCACTGGCTGGGCTGAAGCAGTCTGCTTTCATCTCCAATAAAACGGGTTTCAAGGAGGGGTGCCTGGGTGTCCTCTTGTCTGTTGCTGCTGTAGCAGGATGAGCACTGTGTGGAAAAAATCTTCCCATGTAAGCAGAGATTGGGGAAGGGCAGAATTCTTTGGACTTTTTTCCAGTTGTCTTCCAGATTGGGGTAATATATAATAATAATTAAAAAAAAAAAAAAAAGAAAAGAATCAGTTGTCTTGCCTGTTCTGCCTGTGCTTGCATGGCATAGGGAGGAGCAGAAGTGCCTTGTGAACTTGCCTTGTTGAGCAAATCCATTATTTCTCACAAGCACGGAACTGCAAAAACTGCAAAAAAGTTGGAAAGTAGGGTGCTGGGGTAACTGATGGCAAGGTGCTGTCAGCAGCAAGAAACCTCTCCTTGGTATGGGCTTGGGGGAGATTCAAATCCCTCTGGATTGTCTGGGACAAGGGGAAATGACTTCAGATGAAAAGAGGGGGATTTAAATTGGGCAAACAGAAGTTGTTTACAGTAAGGGAGGTGAGGCACTGGCACAGGCTGCCCAGAGACATGGTGGATGCCCTGTCCTTGGAGACGTTCCAGGTCAGGCTGGATGGGGTTCTAAGCAGCCTGACCCAGCGGAGGTGTCCCTGTTCATTGCAGGGAGCTGGACTGGGTGACCTGTAAGGATTCCTTTCAACTCTAAGAATTCTTTGATTGGCTGAAGGTGGAGGTATTACATCTACCACAACTTTTATAAATACTCTGAAAAATTAGTTCAAAGATAAGAGAGCAAGTCAGACCCCAGTGTGAAGAACAGGACCCCAGTGTGAAGCACATTCACGGCAAGGATTCCTACAGGGCTGGGCAGCCTGGCCCATGCCTTGCCCCACGTGTGCCCACCACTGCCCCTTCTTCTTATGGAAGGGGCCACCTCTAGGTGTGAAAATATTGTATTTTCTGTCCTACTCATAGCTGGTGTCACTGCTAGCCACAAAATATTTGTTTGCATCTTCTTGTTCTCATCACGACTTGGGTTTTGGTTTGCTCTAAAAAGAGTGTCATCCATCTAGAGTGTTGGGGAGTAGCAAGCAGAGCTGAGCATGAGACTGCTGGGCTTTATTTCCACAGGCTGACCCATGTGCAAACCTCAGATTGCTGAGCTTTATACTGGTCCTTCTCCTGGCTCCTATCAGCAGGTTTGCTCTCTGTTGTGGTTTTCTCTGTGAGTATAAAGCTTGTGTTTTGTCAGCCCCCTGCCTTTGTATTCAGTAAGTGCTGCGTTTTGGTAAAGACTGTGATAAATTACAGTGTTGGGTATAATAATAAATGTTAGTATAGTATATATAGGCCATTGAGGAATAGATCAGATTTGGTTCTGTCTTTTAAATGCGCTTTTATAACAGTCCTTTGAAAGGAGTCTTTGCCTTTTGGTCCATGTCTGTTCTGACAAGTGCTGCAGTACACGAGGATGTAAAAAAAAGTATGCAGCATGGGATTCCTCTCCTTCAACAGACCCAAGAGCTGCCAGTCTCTGCCGAATTAAAGCCTTCTGGCATGCAGTCATGTAAACATGTTTATGTTTTTGAGGCATCTGTTGAGTGTTCTGTGAAGTTACATTCTGCTCTTGCTCCTGTGGGAACGGTAAAGCATTGGCCATAGGGTTCTATGAATTGTCAGAAAGTGAGCAGTTAATTCTTGACATCTGCTATGCTGGAGCGACTGCCAAGTCGAGTGGGAAGTTGGCAAGGAAATAAATATTGATGGGCCCTAGCAACAGGTACTCCTGAGAACCCTTGTTCTGGGAATGCTCAGGCAGAGTCCACGTTATTAATGTTGTGATAGGATTTAAGGCCTATTTATAGGGTTTGTCTGTGTCTTATCAGCTCAGAGTGCACAAATGGTCTTTGCTGTACGAGGGCTCTGGTGCATTTCAAGTGCGTGCTTATAACTGAACTCTCACGTTTGATGTCTATCCTATGTCAGAACCACTACTACAGAGATATGTGCATGTAAACGCGTTGGATGCAATAAGTTCTTTCTCTTAGTAGTATACTGACAATACATTCGTGTACAAGGTCCTTTGGGAATCCTCCGGATGAAACTAGCTTGTGTATTCTGTAAAAGCATTACTTGTGAGCCTGTAAGTGAGCAATGTTATGTTTTCATTGCAGAACTTGAAGCCAGAGAAGCCTGTGCCTGGCTGCGAGCCGCCGGCTTTCCCCAGTATGCCCAGCTGTTTGAAGGTATGATCCCAAAGAGCAGCTGATACTGAGCTTAAGTTGAACTGCTAATATGAATAATCTTTCAGAACCTGGCACTCCTGATGGGAGCACTTCCAAATTCTGCAGTATCTTCATGCAAACCTATAGAAAGCGTGCAGCATGGTGCGTGTCGTTGCAGGAGTGACACCTTATTGAGGCTGGCATGGCCTCAGGAGAATTCTGCAAAGGACCAGAGCTTTTCTGGTTGAGGTTAGAATGTGACTTCTGCTTCTGTGATGATCTGTTGCTTATAATTTGCTTGGTCTCTTCCTTGGAGCATCATTTATTGTCTGACACACAGAAAATTTGTCAAAATTGATTTCTTTAGCCTGTGCTAAACCTGTGGCAAAATTCCCTGCCATCGTAATTCAAATTTCAGCTCCAACCTTTTGGTTTGCAGATATGCAGTTTCCTATTGACATAAGGACCGTGAGGAAAGACCATGAATTTTTAGATGGAGATGCAATCGAATCACTGTTCAGGTAAATGTTACTCTTGGATCATCTTTAACACCTGCAGGTTCCACTAGGCGTTTGTCACTCAGCTGTTCCTAGCTTGGTTTGTGTCAGAGTATGACAGTGTCACCGATGCTGTGATGTATTGGGGCATAACTGACTCTGCAGGCTTTAATTAAAATGTTGGATAATAACTCCTTCCAAGGATTTGGCTTCACAGCCTCATTTTTTATATTCTTTTAAGAAGTCAGCACGGTGTTCTTTCATTTTCAGAATCTTGAATCAGTTTTTCACAGTCGATCCTTAAAGCTCATTATAAGATTTTTTTTAATACAAGTGCAACTGATTAAGTACAGTCCTCTTTAGTTTTGAATGTCACAGGTTAGTGCTGTCAATGTTAGCGGGCACTGGTTGGGCCAAAACATATGGAGAACATCTGGCTGTGCACCAGTCTTTGGCACCAATAACACTGACTCAGTTTAGAAGCTTGCTACTAGTTTGGAGCATGTTGGTTTTTGAGGAAAAAAAATAGATTAAATTCAACTCTTTTTCTTCTACCCTAGACGGCTGAACACGTTGAATAAGTGTGCATTGATGGAAGTGGAAATAAACTGTCAGAGGAACCAGGTATGTTTACAAATACGGTTAATTTTCTCAGTAAAAAGGTGATTAACTGTTATATTAAAATACTTTTTTCAAGAGTGTGTGAAGGATTGCTTGTTGCCAGACACTCACCCGGTGTGTGGGCAACACAGCAAGCGCGGCACCTGGGGAAATGTTTGGTGTGGCTGAGGTCTCCAAGAGGGTGTGCCATAGTCCCGCAGCCAAGTGGATCTCTACCTGAGAGTTGTGGTCACTGAAGCATGAAGAAGTGTTTGATTTGTTTGTCTTTGGGTAAAAATACTTGGCCAAATCTTCTGGATTTGTTGCAAAACTGAATTTTTCATCCCGAGATCAAATCTGCCATCTTTTCCTATGGTAAACTTAGCAGGCTTGTCAGCATGCTGGGGTGTAGTTTGTCACCATGGTTTTCAACTACCAGAGCAGAGCTCAGGGCAGACCTTTGGTAACTGAATGTTTGTTTCCATATGTAAGTTTTGGAGGTAGGCAGTCTTGGTTTGTTTATGTTTTCCGATAATATAATGTTTTCAAAACTGCCCTTGAAATGTACTTTTTTTTCTCCCAAGAGTGACGACTCCGATGATGACGAACCTTGTGCAATAAGTAATAAATGGGCGTATGAGCGATGCAGCCAGAAATGGTTTCGCCTTGAGAGCCTGGAAGATTCCACAGAAGGTGCTGGTGCATCCCTCCCAGGCAGCCCAATGCTGAAGAGCACTGGCAATGAAGACAGAGCCCTTTTGGACCATGGTGACAAACACGATGTGTCGTCAATTCATAGCACTAGCAGTGGTGACAGCGATGCTGTTACCTCCCCGAAGTCTTTTGAAGACATGGAAACCAGCCCGAGTTCCTCCAGTAGAGTCGCTTCACTGGAATCTGCCTTTAGTTGTTCACCTCCCCCCAGTGAATGTTTAAATGCCACCAGTGAGAAGAAGCTTTGGGATAAGTCACCGTACAAAAAGAGGAAGAGTCTTCTAAAGAAAATGGAGAAGTTGCACTTAAGGAGCAGCAACTTAAGGAGTGGTCAGTCGAAGGCCAAACCCATCATAAGTGAACCTTTCCTTCTGGAAGGACTTAATGAGGAGAAGATGAAGATGCTTAATTGTGTAAATATCGCTGACCTCCCTGGCATCCAAACGAAGAACAATTCTTCCTGTTCTCCTCCTAGCTGCAGTAGCAACAATAAGTTTGAAAGCAGCAGGACGGTGAGCACTGCCCGTCCTCTTAAAAAACCAGAAAGCTGCTGTGAAAGAAAGGAGAGGTGTGCTGAGGACTTGGAGTGTGGCAAATTACTGCTGTGGAGTGATGTATCTCAGAGAAACCTAAACAATGAAGTAGAGTTACAAACGAACCCGATGTTTCAAGTACCACACGGCCACAAACCTGGCACTTTCCCCAAAGCCCTTATGAAAAGTCCCATCTCTCCAGGAGATGACTCTCCTGTCAGCTGGAGAACTGGCTGCAGGAGGGGCCAGAGCAGAAGCAGGTCCAAGGACTCCAGAGCCTCCAGCAGCCCCATCTCGCGCACAGATAACAGGCTGAGTGTGTATGACAACATACCTAATGTTGAACTTGATAAGCTGGAGGCAGCAGAAGTTGGAGATGACGATGTTTTTTCAGAACTGAACAGTGTTATAGAAGATGTCAAGGGTCTCAGAAAGCTGGTTGATCAGTGGGCGGAGAAGTTCTCAGATGATGGGTATTTGGACTTATCCAGTGACTTTACGGCTCTGTATCCGTCCTCACCTACAGAAATCTGTCTTGACACAGAGCACTCGGAAGTTAAGAAAGTAGCTGTGCTGTCCTCTGAGGGAGAGGACAGCTGTGAGCTGGGAAAGGAGCTCGGCTCTACAGAGCTGCCGTTCATAACAGACCCTACAAAGACCAACAGGTCAGTCATCCTTGGGTTTCCCTATTAAAACACCCTTCTAGAAGCTTTCCCTGTTGATTCTCTCCACTGAAAATGTAATTGTTATTCCAGAACAAAATGTACTTAAGGGAGGCTATTCTGGGTGTTGTAGTCTCTGCACTGGTGGTGCCAAGCACTTCTGTGCTGTAGGGAGCACGAGGTCTACTTACGCCTGCTCTGATCGTGTTGGAAGCAGGGCTCTCGTGATCTCAGGTTGGGAAGTAGGAAGAAGTTATTCTCAGGAAGAATGGTAACGCAGTGGCATAGCTGCCCAGGGAGGTGGTGGGGTCACCGTCCTGGAGGTGTTCGAGAGCTGTGGAGATGTGGCATTGAGTGACACGGTGAGCGTGGTGGGGGTGGGTTGGTGCTTATACTAGATGATTTTAGAGGTCTTTTCTGACCTTAATGATTTTATGACTCTATTAATACTTGGATATTTTGAGTTGGTTTGCTGTGCTTCTTACTGAAACCTTCAGTGCAGCTATAGAGAGAAGCACTTTGTTTGAAAGTGACTGACCACAAGTTGTTTGGGAACCATAGGTTGTGTTGAGTATTAGTAGGGGTTTCACAGAAGCAAGCAGAAAGCTAAGAGGGACAATGGGAAGAGTCCTTTGGCATGACCAACACTTATCCTGTAGGCACAGGAAGCAAAATGGGTCTGTGGAAGACAGCAGGAAGGTGGAGGGCTTTTCCATGCAGGCTGAAGGTCCATCGGCTGCCCAGCTGGCCCGGGCACAGAAGCTGGCATTGCTGAAACTCACTGCTGTCATGGACAGATACTCCCCTTCCAGTAAGCAGGGCTGGAACTGGTAAGTAGTCTGTTTAAGCAAACGGTGTTGGAAAGAGAGGATTTAAAGCAAGCAGGTGAACTTCCTTGTCGGACTAGGTGACATTGTCCACAGTGAAGAACTTCATCCTGCTAAATCAGTGCTGCTTTGTGCTTATTGCGGTGGCTCCAGCATTTTATCTGCTGTGGACAAAACGTCTGTTTCTCACTGGTGGTCACAGTGTCACTGGTTTCAGAGCACTTTGTAGCTTCTCTCTGAATCTTCCTGTGTTTGGGGCTGTGACAGAGGTGCTTGGCAGAGACTGCAGGACCGGAGGCGAGTGCGGGCTGGGCAGAGCTGTGCTGGAGAGCTGTTAAGTTAGATGTGCTGGTTTTTGTTTTCAGGACTATACCAAAGTCAAAAAAAATAAAAGCCTCTGACTACAAGGACAAAAATGTCTTTGGGGTCCCCTTGCTGCTGAACGTTCAGCGAACAAACCACCCGCTGCCTATCGGCATCCTGCAGGCGCTGGATTATTTAAGAAGCCACTTTCTCGACCAGGTATGAACTGAGGATGTGCCACTAAGCAGAGAGACAACACTCTCCGTCATGGTATGCCTGGGGGGATTAGCCATGCTGCTTCCATTGGTACCAGACTATCTTGGTGTTAAGTCCTGCTACCATAGGACTTGATCTATCAAAAGGAAAGGGAGGGAGCAATGATTTTGTGTTGAGGTTTGAGTCCTGATGACTGTAACATTTTCTTTTTTCCTTGGAGGTTGGCCTGTTCCGCAAATCTGGTGTTAGATCCAGGATCCTGTCCTTAAGAGAAATGAATGAAACCAGCTCAAACAGTGTGTGCTACGAAGGGCAGTCAGCCTTTGATGTGGCAGACATGGTGAAGCAGTATTTCCGAGACCTACCTGAGCCCATATTTACCAGCAGGCTCTGTGAATCCTTCCTCCACATCTACCAATGTAGGTAACAAAAGCTTTGGCTTTCCAATTCCTTGAGTATCTTATGCTCCTTTAGTACTTGGCTGTATAAAGCTGGACAGACTGGGACTGGTGCTACGATGTTATTTTAGTGTCAGACAGTCAGATGAGTCGGGGCCTGACTGAAAAGACAACTTCAGTGCTGTTACTTGGGCTGCAAGTAGGGCCAGCTCTGTATGTGCACTGGCATGATGTTGAAGAAAAACTACAAGTAGTGCACCAGCACTGGGGAATGTGTGTATTGCCAAGTGGTGGGCAAATGCTGTACACGTGCTGTGATGGTGATAGCAGCCTTCGTGCTGGGAGCTGGAAAGAAAAGGCAAGGCGTGAACCTATGTTTTCAGTGCCCTGCTTGGCATGCCTCTGATGGATGCTGCCTTGCAATCATGTGCGATTTCCCTTGTTTTCTGTTTCCAGATGTGCCAAAGGACCAGCAGCTGCAGGCTGTCCAGGCTGCCATTCTCCTTCTGCCAAAGGAGAACCGAGAAGCCTTGAAAATTCTCCTGTTCTTCCTACGTGATGTGGTTGCGTGTGTTGAGGAAAACCAAATGACCCCAACCAACATTGCTGTCTGTCTCGCCCCGTCGCTCTTCCACCTCAACACCCTCAGACGGGACAGTTCCTCCTCCTCCACTCGGTATTTCATCCTGCTAAGCACTGCTGCTTGCAGTAGCATTTTGGTGTAGCTGTCCCAGACTGAGTGCTTTAGGGGGGGGTGGGGGAGAGAGGTGGGTTTGGTGCAGATGTGGGAGCTGCCCTCAGTTCAGGCTGAGCGCAGGCAATGTGCCCCTCCTGTCCTGCTGCTGGTGAGCAGGGCAGCACATCCCTGGGACACAGGGGTGCCCCTGTGCCCACTGCCTGTGTTACCGTGGGGTGCGCGGGGCCTCCAGCAGCTGCTATCACTCGTTCCTCTGGGTGATAAGGGATTGTTTCTGCCAAACAGAGCCATGGGGATCCTGCACGTTTATCTCTATAAGTAGAAGTTATGCTGTCTGGGTTGCATAACATCTCCTGCTCCTACGTGTGGAGAGGAAGGTGCCCTTGGTCCAAAGCAGGCAAATGAAATCTCAGAGAGCATTCCACCTTATCTATGCTCCTGAGGCACAGCTGTTTGTTTGCTCTGCTCTGTGCCCCTGCGTGTGGACAGGCATGTCTCAGGGCATGGATGCTTTGAGGGTAGCACAGTGCCCAGCAGCAGAGCTACTTGTCACCCCACAGGTGACTTAAAGAGTGGGGCTGTACTCAGAGTGAAGCAGGAGCACAGGGCAGCTGCTCCTCCCAGCTGCAGGTACCTGTGAGCACCTCCGGGCTTCACTTCAACATTCCTCTGAAATATCAGGATCAGAAGGAGAATCTGAGCTTTCCCTTTGCTGTCACTGTACAGAAGGGGGTTCCTTTGAACCCTTGGAGTTGCTGTAGCCAGGCATTAATGCTGCAGAGCAGGGTTCAGACTTCAAAGCACAGGGCAGGGCTGCCTTTGATGCGCAGCTGAGGACTTGATCTCCCAATGGATTTTGGAGCCGTTTGGCAGGAATGCACATAGATAAGTGACAGAAACCAGGATTAATTCTGTCATATAGTGATTTTGAAGAGGGGACTGTTTCTGAAAGGGGTGCAGTGTGGTCCTTGTGGATGTTGTAGGTCTCAGAGAAGCACAGCAGCTGCAGGCTGCACACAGAGCAGTTGGGTTACGGCCATCTGTGGCTGTGTGTGATGTGATCTGGGAAGCGAGTGCTGTACACTCTCTCTCCTGAGCAGAGGTGTTCCATGTTGGCCCTGCCTCGGTTGCAGTCAGGGACCCCCAGCAGGGGTAATGCAGTGATGCCATATAAGCCTTGCACGGTACCTCTGATCCCACACAGCCTCCTGCTCACTACCCTTTTTTCCTTTCCCATCCACAGATCGAGCCAGAGGAAGTGCAGCCTGGGGAAGCCGGACCAGAGGGAGTTGAGCGAGAACCTGGCAGCCACGCAGGGCTTGGCCCACATGATAACAGAGTGCAACAGGCTCTTCCAGGTATGGTGCTTGCTGTCACACTGCAAAAGCAGGGGTTTGCTGCCCTGGGCTTGGGGCCAGCTTGGTGTTTGTGCTGTTGAGGGCTGCCCCCTTCCCACTGGTGCCTGTGGGGCAGAGGCTGCCATAATGCTCTGGGGGGAGGTCTCAGCCAGGGCTGATGCTCCCATCTGGAAGCTGGCAAGAGATGAAGCTTTGTGCTGGAACTTGGTTGTAGTGACAGCCATGCTTGTGTCTGGCCACAGCCCCTCATCTCCCCCCCATTAATTTGCATATGGATCTTAACCCACAGGCTGACTTCCCAGCTTGACCTTGGCCTTTCCTTGTTATTATGGACTTTGCTGGCACTCACTGGACTGGGACTCACACTGGCTGCTATCACCGATCCTGAGCCTGCTCTGTTGGCTGCTGCCCCACCTCCCTGGCACACTCAGCACTCCTCAACAAGGATGTCCCCGATGATCTGCACTTGGGGCTGACCCTGTTTTCCACTATTGTCTGCTGCCACGCTCTCAGGTACTGGGGGATGGGGTGGCTTGTCCTGCAGCCTTGTCACAACTGATTCCCAGCCCCCTTATCCCAGGGAGCCCTTGGTGCATCCCATCATTCAGCTCTGGCGTTTTTTCTTGCACATAGCTCTTAGCAGTATGGAGCCCTGCAGCCACTGCCAGGGAGGGGTGTCCTGATCTCTCTCCTCCTCGCTCTCAGTCCCAGCCCTACTGGATTGCCCCAGAGCTACCCTTGGGCCAGGAGACATCCTGCACCTTCCTGCTATGACTGGTGCACTGTGAGGGGCTGTGACCTTCTGGGAGAGGGGCCTGGTGCTGGCAACTGGGGACAGCAGAGCCAGGGTTGTTCCCTTTCCTGATGGTGGACCTCTACCTGGATTGGGACCTGCTCAGCCAGACCCATGCCTTTTTCACTAGAACACGCCTGACCCTGGCTGCTGTCTCTAACCAGACCCTGCCTGGCTTGGCCTTGTCATCCACAGCTGGTGCTGGAACTTGTGCTCAGCTGCCAAGCACTGCTCAGGTACTGTGGGATGGCAATGGGGCCCTGCTCAGCCTTCTGAGGCAGGACAGTTCTGCCACAGGATGGGGGCAGCTGTAGGAGGTGATACTCACAAACATTTGTATCAGCAAGCAGGTAAACCAAGTGAGACACCCACTGTCACAGTCCTTGCAGAGGATGGCACAGGGGAAATGCCTGTGCCTGCTGCCAGTAGTGTTCAAAGTCCCCTGAGGCCTCAAGCACCTTTGCTGGTTTATCTCTCCTGCACCTGAGCTCTCCTTTTGCTTTGGGTTTGTTGGAAGGTGCAGTAACAGGGAAAGCAGCATGGAGTTCCCGTTTTGCCAGCTGTGAGGACTCTGCTAGTAGAACTGCCCTAAGCTTGTGCAGACTTAGCAGAACAGTGTGGCTGCATGCATGCAGCTTAGCAGCTGGGCTCTGAGGGCAGGAAACCACTGCTTGGCTGGATCCTAGTACAGGGCTCTTGCAAGGCATAGGAATGTGGAGTGTTCTTGCAGGTGGATCCCTCAGTGGTCTCCACTGACCTGCTAAGTGTCAATTCACAGCCTCCTGCTGTTTAAAGCTTTCTCTGAGAGGGGTTGGAGTCAGGGTGCCCCAGCAGGGGTAATGCAGCGATGCCATGTGAGCCTTGCATAGCACCCCTGATCCCACTCAGTCTCTTGCTCATTATCTTTTCCTTCCCCATCCACAGATCAAGCCAGAGAAGAGCTTGACCTCTTCTGCAGCTACAAGTGTGCAGCCCTATCAGTTCACTAACACCTTCCATGCAGTGAGCACCCTGAGCACCCACCCCGCACTGAGTTGAGGGCAGTGAAAGGCACCATCGAACATCAGGTGCACCTTGCAGATGCCTTGTATTTCTTATTTCTCAAACTCCAGGATAAAGAGTAGAGCCATGGGGATTCAGTTCCTGTGACCAGAAATGCTCTGAGCTGTGCCCACAGCACCCGCTGCTGCCTCTGGACCTGAGTGCTTCTGCACTCACTCTTCCCTTTCCCTCGCTGGGTGCTGCTCCCCTACAGCACTTTCCCTTGCCAGAACCCCCTGCCATCAGACATGGACAGAGACAATCAGTCCTTTTATTTTCACCCCACAGGGAACAAGTTAGTTACATCCTTTCTACTGGCTTAATTCCCAAGATGTCAAAACCCTTGGCCATGATGGTGGCGGTGGCCTCGCACAGCAGCAGCCTCCACATATTCACCTTCACAATCTGGCCTGCAAAACAAGAACAGACCAACATAGGAACTGGAACCACTGCTCAGACCAACCACCACTGCCCACTCTCTTGGGGACCATCTGCCCCCAAGCTGCCCCTGGGAGTGGCTGCTCACAGCTTAACCCTCCTGCTCTGCCAACCCCTTCAGCCCCCCCCAGGACAGCACTTGTTCTGCAGCCACCAGTAAGGCAACAACAGCCTTCCCCCGCCCTGGGAAAGACCCTGCAGTGCACAATGACATGTGCAGCACCCCTAGGCCAGCACTCACCACTCTGCCTGTCCTTCTCAACGCAGTAGCAGTTGTCGTAGAACTCAGTGAAGGTGGTGGCCAGCTCATAAAGGTAATCACAGAGCGTATGCAGTAACAGATCATCCAGGATCTTCTGCAGAATCTCAGGGAACCTCAAGATGCACTTGCCCAGTTTCCACTCCTTCTCATGGTCGAGGACAAGCACCTCCTCCCTGGCTGCCTTCCGCAGCATCTCCTCGTCAATATTGGCCAGACGAGCAATAGCCCTGAAATGATCCAGACCACAGTCTGCTTGTCATTACCAACAACTTCCACCACTGCAGAGCACTACCCTGCTTCAGGTACCACAGGCAAACATCTCCAGTGACAATGAGTGATGGAGCTGACTTCTCTTGCCAACTACCCCTAAAGGCAGTGATTCAACAAAAGCCATGCCTTCCCCACCACCTCCCTTTGCACTATAGACTCAGAGCTATCAGAGATGCTTCAACTGATTCCCACCACACTCAACTCACCTGATCCGCGTGAAGGCATACAGCAAATAAGCAGCTGTATTTCCTCGGTCATCCAGCATCTTGTCAAAGGAGAACACGTAGTCATTTAGTCTGTTGTGGGAGAGATCTGCATATTTAATGCATCCAAAAGCGACTGACATCTGGGCAGCTTTCAGCTCTTCTGGCGTGAGGACCTGTTACAATTTCAAAACAGGTAATGATCAAAAGGAGGAAAGCTACGCTGGCATCACAACGCCTAACAGCTTGCATGGCAAGCTCAGGGGGTTTTACCCCCATGGCACACGAAAGCAAGTTCCCAACTGCCTTTCCTCATGGGGGATTGACACCCCATCCGTGCCCTCAGGCCTGCAAGCACATGGTGCACCCGCTGCTCCTGAAGGCCTGCCCACCACTTAACATCTCACTATCTGCCACCACGCGGGTGAATTTTCACACTGTGCTCCCACTTCTCACAACCTGTGCATACGCAGAGTACACGGTGTGCTCTGAAATGCCCTCACAGAGCATTTCTGGATCAGCCAAACACTCAAAGCGCACCTCCTAGGTACAACTGCAAGCTGTCAGCATGGCCAAGTGGTTTGCACCTAAGTTGTATCCCTTGAGAGATCGTCATGGTCTTTCCATTTAAAAGGGAGCTTTCAGCACAGCATGAAGGAGCCACGCTTCCCGATTCCATTGCCTCACACAGGGCTCAGGCCATTTGGTCCTTCTGTTCCATTCTGCAGCCTACCCTGCCCAGTTCTCTTTAGGCCAGCAGAATTCAAAACAGACAAAATCTTTTTAAGCAAAAGCTTCCAGCAAACACCATTGAAGGGAACAGGTGAAGCCTGACACCAGCACCCCCTGCAGCTCTCCAACCACCCATCACCAGAAGTCACTAAATCCAGCAGGCCAAGTCTGCAGCTCTCATCATCTACCACCACATGCTGCACCCTGGGGTAGTCACAGGAGCCATCCCTGCAGCCTAGCTGGTACCAGCTGCAGGGCCAGCATGCTGTCTGCAGTTTACACCTCACTGCTATGTATCCAGGGTTGCTCTCCTTTCTCCACGACAGCACCATGTCCAATTGTTCCCAAGTAACAGTACCAATTCTGTAATAAATCCACAGCAACCCCCATCAACCTGGCTGCATCCATAGCCTCAGCTCACATTCACAATGTAGAAGTTTTACACTTGTGAACAAATCTGCATGGTTCTCTGGAAAGATTAGCTACCTTGTCCCGTTCCTTGTCTTTCAGCTTGTCCATGGCCCGTTTCAGCCCTTCTTCCAGAAGATCCATAAGACGCACTGCATCCCCCGAACGAGTTTTGAACTTCTTCCTGAAAACATACACAGCCAAAATGACCCCCTACACATGAGGCGAAACACTCCCAGGAATTTTCACTCCTAACACATACCCACACATTGCTTTGTACTGAAGAACTGGGCACCAGACAGCCAAAACTAAGGAAAGGTGTAGGACTCTGACAATACACGTGGGATAGGTGGGAGTGGGAGGACAGGGAAAGCTCCAACAGCCAGAACTGTCCCAGACATCAGGCAATCACAATACCAGTGCAAAGACTCGAATCCAGCAAGGCATCTTTACTTCTGTAACAAGCCCACAGCAAAACCACTTGTGCAACATTATGTGACTGCAGTACACACTGGTTTACCTGCAACTTAACTGAGACAGAAGACCAACTCTGGAGCACAAGGGCATAACCTGCACACCAGAACAATGCTGTTCTTTTCCCAACTTTTATTCCACCTTCTTCAGAGCAAACAGAAAGTAAGGACATCGTGGCCTCTACCACTGCCATCTCCACTATTTGCATTACCTTCCTCTGCATTTCTACGAGCCAAGTCACAGCCCTCTCCCAAATACCATGCAGCAGAAGCCAGACCTGACTTCAACACTACTGTCTATGTGTACCGAAGGGCCCTGATGTGCCATATCACATACATACTTGTCAATAAACAAGCAAAAGTCTTCTGCACTCAATCAAACATCCTCTTCAGAGCACATTCAGAGGAAAAAAGTACGTCTAGAGACTTACTTGTCTTCTCCCAGCACCACTCCGAACGCAGCGTGAGTGATTCTGGTTACTTTGGGGTCATACCAGCCGATCATCTGCCCAGCTGCAAACACTGTTTGCAAATGCACCGACTGCAAGGAAGAAATATCAACAACCAGTTCTCAACTCACTCTTCTGGGTATGGTTTTCTTGTCACTTTCATCACCTTTACAATGTTGCTTTGACAATGTGACTTTTAAAATGTTTTTAGCTCCACAGAAACATTCCCCTTCAGAAAGTTTAACCCTGCAGAACTTGCTGGGCTTACAAAAGCAGCAAACTTACATCACTGTTCAGATACGGCACTGACAATCTTGCATTTCCTCAGGTAAGAAGAGATGTAGGGTATACACAGTACATCTCTCTCTGAGATTTAGGCTCAGCATATCTCCAGTGGTGACTGTGCTTTTCTCATCACTTCATTCCAGGGCTCTTCACAGAGGCCACCAGCCAGCACATCAGATTCACCATTACACCACTAAGGTCAAAAGCCAATAAATACAGCACATGGAAAACCCTACAGGAGTTCTATTTACCTTATTGTTGTGCTTGTTTTTTATGTGATTTCTGATTATCTGTATCAGCAGAGACAGGAGAGACTGACATACCCACCTGGCCACTGTCGACAACATAGATAAGGATATCACCCTTCTCTTCCAGCAGCCTGTGTCTAAGTGCAGCCAAGTCAGACGTGTCATATGTGTAACCTCCATCTGACTTCATGATTGTCAGCGGGACAGAGAAACCTGGGACGAAGACAACCTTCCGGCCATCATCCACCTGCACAAAGCCTAGAAAAGCAATGGAATACTGCATTGTGTTGCATCTCATGGGGAGGCTGTGGGACACGATAGGCAGAAACGTCTCCTGTTCTGATGCTATCAGAAAGAAAAATCCATGCACATGCATTAATAAATACTTAACATCTCAAATCACTAACAAAACCAAACGCTAAGCCTAAATGAGAACTCCCTTAACAGCCAAGTCAGATTTTGTGTTGCACTTCCAGAACTCAAGACTGGGCGCAAGAAAGCAGATCTGTGTCACTCTCGGTTTTCCAGAAGAGACTCAGTTGGATTTAAAAACTCACATCATTGGCATCCAGATCTACCTTTGCTGCTGCAAAAACAGCATTACAAAAGAAGGTGCAAAAGCAAATGGAAGCTCTACAGAGATAAGACTAATTAGAACAGTACAGATAGGGAGACTCAAGAAATGCAACATCTAAATAGAAACACAATTAAAAACTCATTACAGTCCACTTGGCTTCTTGTGTGTCTTAAAGTCAATGTGAACCAAAACTGTCACTGCCTTCACAGAGAAAATTTCTCTGATGCAAGTTCTCCTATAGTCACAACACTAAGAAAGATACACTGGTGAAAATAAAATAAACTCCAGCAGCGTCTCGTGCTATTTCCAACAAATATCCCCCACAAACTACTTCTGCTGTCAGCAGGAATGATTCAGTCTTTCTGGAGTGAAAAAAATATATATAATAATGAGTTCTGCTCATGCTTCTCTGGGAGGAAATTCCACAAAAGACCCACTTGGAAATTGCTGCTGAGAAAAAGAGCAAAGCGCAGAGAACACACACCTCTCTGAACATCAGTCCCAAGCCTCGGGGGCTAGGAGTGAAGTTACCCCTTGTGCTGATTTGCACCACTGTTGATTCCAAGACAAAAAGCCTCACCTTTATCTTCAAATTCTTTCACGATGTCTTTCATCATATCTTGGTAGAATGACTCCCCTCTCTCTGTGAGTGTGACGTCCAGGCAGTTGTAGATTTTCTGGAACTCTTCAGGAAGAAAACAAATAGAAAATTATTTCATTAAAACATACAGTGGAAATTTTAGTAGCATATATTTACTAACAGACACAGCAAATCCCTAAATATGTTTTCTATCTTTCTATCTCTCAAGCAATC